TGGTTAATTATCACGGGTGATCACATGTAGATCCATAAAAATTAGCCAATCATATGAATTTCTTCCTATGAGTTTTAGGCAGGTGCCAACTTCAGTCGGATCCCCGACATAGATATAACGGATATGTCCGATTGAATAATATAAAGATGCTAATCAACTCAATCTGTTTGTAAATAAAAACCGGTTAATGAATAGAATCGAACAGGCTGATTGCGATGATAATCGATGGGAAATTTTTTACCGTTACTAATCGATAATCGATAGCGCAGTCACATGAATTTTCGGTATTATTAATCATAGTTTTTCCCACACTTTTTTTTGTATTATACGTTTTGTTTTTTTTTTTTTTATTATTTTTTTTACTTTCTTTATCATTTTTTTTCTTCTTAATATTCGTTTCTATTTATTTACTTGTTTATGTACTTTACTCGTCTATATACTTTACTCGTTTATATACTTTATTTACTTTTTTTACTCGTGTTATCTACGAATAAACGTTTTTTTGGACGCGTTTTTTATCAAAATTTTCGTCTAACGCGGTTAACTTTAAGATAAGTGTTTTATTCTTTACACACTTGTGTTCAGTTGCTGCACCTATTTAACCTTTTCGTTTCTGAAGGGTTTCCTTCAAAGAGGTAAGTAGTTAGAAAGTATCTGGTCTTATTTATCACAGTGCCAAGGGTGGGCTTGCCTATCGGCGCTATGGTAAGCTTGTCTGCGGCATTTTGGTAAGTAAGATTTGCAGACTCCCCCCTCCTGGCAGGTTCCTTGCCCTGGTTGGTGTAAGCGCGAGGTTTTAATCCTCCCAGGGCCAAATCATAGTGTTTCGTTTTTTACAAGCCAGGTTGTAAAAAACAATGAAACATTTACACCCGCTTTTCTGAGATATTCTTTTTTGAATATCTATGATGACAACCAGAGTTTTTAGTGAGTAAGAATCTCACACTGTCTAGGAGCAACTCCTAGTCGCCTATGCAAGGTTTTCTCTGGTCTAACAAAAAAAATAAAAAAAAAAAAGTCATAACACTATAATTTAGAAACTTTCGATTCAAGTGACTATTCATACAAATCACAAATCGCTAATACAGTTATGATGTACAGAATAAACAAGAAAAAATATATTTTGCGGTATGTTGCAAATTCAATATTGTTTGATATACATGAGAAAAATTTATGAGAATAACTAACGTTAAAAAATTTATGCGCAAATCTTTTGGCAAAATCGTATTGAATGTACGGTATATGCAATATTGGCATGCGTCTTATACACCAAAGTTGTTTTATTCCTGTCTATTCTTTACCATCTTTGAGTTTATTGAATTTCGGCGTGTCACAAAAATTTTAATCCGAAATTACCGTTACTGCTATAACAAAGACCACCGGGGACCTTTTAATGAAGTAATTACTAGCGATAAAGCCTTTTCATGCGTCATTCTATTTTGCATCTGAGATGAAAACTTCTATATATGACACAAAGCGCATCAGGCTTGATACGATCCTTATTTTAAATTTTAACTAAGTGTTGTATTTCTAGCAAGTTTAAATTATGATAATGCTTTAAAATATTATACAAGAGAAATAACAAAAATAAAAGATATAGCATAAAATGTAATATATCTAGTTTACAATAGAAATTTTTTATCTAAATAAAAACGTAGTCAAATTTTTATAATCAAAGCGCTTAAAATTTTGTCGGATTATTTTTCGGATGCTTAACTTTCATATAGAGATCAAGTGTTCCACCAACTTTTATTAGAAGCCATTTTGACAATATTAAAACATAGTACGATTTTATAAATGAGTTTTTTGGTTTTTAAAGCGAAGTAACTAATAAAGATCAAATTGCTTTTTGAATAAAAGTTTCAAATTTCACGTGAACAAGATGATTAAAAAATTAATCGTTTTACGATTTTACGAAATGCTACGTATAAAAGCATTAGAAATAACATGTGTTTAATTTTTAATTTTGGCCAATCAGAATTTGTATAACACATTTTGCAGGTAGAATAACTACCTCAGAATACAATTTATCACCTGGTTTCATGATCAGTTTTTAGACTTGTTTAAAAACATGAACGTAGAGGATACAACGAAGCGTCTTCATTTTCTTTGGGGCACTTCTCATACTTTACTACCTACCGTCCACGGTTTATTAGCTTTTTATATACAAAAATTTACTCAATGTGCAATTAATGAAGATCTAAATCTTGCCGATGGTGTCAGGCGAAGATATTGTGCGCATTGCGGAAGTATTTTCGTCCCTGGGTTAAACACTCAGGTACGACTTGACGTAAAAAAGAAACGAAAAAGAAAGAAATCAAAAACAGATAAGGAAGAAACTTTTCAAGGCGTTGAAGGTAAGAATTTGGCATTTCTTTTATTTCTTATTTGTAATCTTATCTAACGTTTTATAGAACGTAACACGCCTACAAAAACGATCACTATTAAAAAGAAACAGCGGATTATACACTTTGAATCGTCATTCTCTAGTAATCAAACAAATAGCATTGCCACATTTCAGAGCGATTTAAAACATGCCAATCACCAACAGCGTCAAAATCATAAAAATATCTTATCTTATATTTGTACTTTGTGTCAAACTGAGGCAAGATTCGCTAGAAGTAGTGCTATTAGAAATATCCTATCCGCAGGTAATCACAATCAGCAAACGCAAGTTATCAATGTCACCACCACAACGCCTATATCGGTGACACAAACACCCGAAGTATCTGGTAAAGGATCAGTATCGATTCAAAAACAAAATTTTGCTGATAGCAATAAACCAAAGAAAAAAAAGCAGAAAACTCAGCTTCAACAATTATTAGCCGAGGAAAAAAGAAAAGAAAGATGAAACCAAAGGTTCAATAAGTGGTCGTCATTGTGAATTTTCAAATTACTGGTGAGTTCATGTCGGAGTTGCTTTTTTTAAGTTGAATAGTAATCAAAATTTCAATAGTGTAAATTTGTTAAATCTATGCTATAAATTATTAAAATCAACCTTCCAATCAAGTTTATCGAATAGAAGTGCCTAAAAGCTTTTGGAAAAAGATAAAACCTCTTAGAAAATCAACCCCTTATATAATAATGCCTTTAAAAAATATATAATAATTTTTAAAAAATAAGGCAGCAATGTTTATAACAAACTAGTTAAACTACAAAATTCGAGGTGAGACCGTCCCAAATATGGAAATGATTATCCGATGGTTACACAATTGTGAAAGAATTTTTTTTATACGTTTTACAATACTTTTTTAGGGCATTCGGGTTACATAACTCATCTATCG